TGTAGAAGGGCACTGCTTCCACCCATGTGGAAGATGGCGTGTCCCCAAATTTCTTTCTTTAGGCATGCCATTATTTCCAGCAAGTTTTTTTTTGAAAAACTTATGTTGGCCAAACTTGGCTCGTCAGGGAGCGTGTGGGAATCCCCCCACCCCCCGACTCCGTCCGACCAAAACTGGGTCGTTCAACAAGCCCTCTTCCACGTTTTCTCCTCCGGGATGACGACAACTTCCCGTCTGCTACTTCTACAGGCTTCTGGGTTTAAATAAGTCCGCTGCAGTGAGACAGAGGCCCAAAGGCTGCAAAAAATAAATTGCTCACAGCTTGTCACGGGCGGATATAATACAAGAAGAAGAAGAAGAGGAAGAAGAAGAAGAAGAAAAAGAAGAAAATACTTCGACACCCCAATGATTTGGATGGATTTTTTAATTTCCTGTAAGGGTGTTTTGAAAGGGGTTATGCTACTAAATATATGGCCTTTGGCTTTGAGAAACAACAAGATCGATGTAAGAATAAAGGAGCATAGCTCTTTTTTGGCGAATTGAAAAAATAAAGATACTTGGGATTTCTCAAGCGAAAATCCATCTCTGCACCCGAGCTCATCTTCACCCGCGCTGGCGAAAAAAATTAAAACAAATACTAGAAAATTTCAAAAAATTCTATTTTTTGCGGTAGACAATTTGATGCATGAGGCCCTCTCCAATTTTCAAATCATTTGGACATCTGAGGAGCTCTCAGCAAAATAGACAAAATAGACATTTTGATGCGTGAAGTACTATTTTGGTCTGGTTTGTATTTTTTGCCGAGAGCTGCTCAGATGTCGAACTGACTTGAAATTTGGAACGGGCCTCACGCATCAAATTGTCTACCGCACAATTTTTCTTTTGGAGTTTTTTGAATTTTTTCCGATTTTCTCTAACCGGGTGCAGATGAGTCTGGCACCGAAACGCCCTACTCTCGAGTGTTTAACTTGCGTTGTTGCTTACAGTACTTAGAGCAACTCCAACAGGGCGACCCATTTCGTCCGCCGCCGTAAGGCGGCCCAACGCGCCGACCCAAACGGGCGCGCGTCCGTTTTTCGTCCGCGGGCAACCCATTCCCGGCCCAATTTTGAGCCGGATTTGCGTCGGTGCGGACAAGCGACGGACGCGCGCGCGTGCCTACTCCTCTCCCTGGGCCCGCTGGTCGGTGGCAGCAAGCACCATTTCTCCCCATTTTCCCTAAAACCCTCCCGCCCGCGCGCGCTCCCACCCCGCACCTGCCATGGACGACAACCTCGACCTCGACGCCGCCGTTGGCTTCGCCTCCCTCGCCTCATCCGGCATGATGACCGCCCCCTCCAGCAAAGGCAAGCCCCGTGCCCCACGCAAAACCGCCGCCGCGGCCAAGCCATAGAAGGCGCTGACGCCCGAACTGCGGGCGGCGGAGTTGGCCAAGAGGAAGAGCCGGAGGCACGCTGCGGACGCGAGGGGTGAAGTCGTCGCGGCTGCCGTCGCCGCCGCGCAGCACGAGGTCACCAAAGCCCGCATCACGGCGACAACGAGGGAGGCACTCTACATGCTAGGGTTAAACCCTAGCCAGCACGGCCTCGTCAACGCCGCCGTGGCCGCCGCGGCCAGCACCGGTTCGTCCGCGTTCCCTCGGATGGTGCTGCCCGACTCGCCCCGCGCGTCGACATGCACCCCGATACCCGGCTTCCATGTGTATCCGCAGGCCTCACGCCTCTCTGGGGAGTGCTCGCCCGACGTGAGCATGGTGGCACCTTCCACGCCCGCGCCCATCAACCTCAATGCCACACCGGTAGACGGTGGCTCGTCATCCGGAGGCGCGAGGAAATGCGCGCGGCAGATGCCGGCCGACGTGCTACTTGACGCCCGCAACCTGTTCGACGAAATGTCGGCCGCCGACGACTAGGACTACATGCACCTCATCTTCGAGGGCGGTGCGCCGGTCGCTGGCTATGACCCCGACGAGACACAAAGCCAAGACGGCCGCGGGGTGTTCACGCCGGGCGCTGGCTATGATCAGTCGGCCTTCATGCGTGATCAGGTCAGCATGGACCTGGACGGCTTTCCACTTGACCACGAGTTTCCGGATGACTACGGGCAAGAGGAAGAAGACGAGCGCGACATTGAAGTGGAGCCTTTGTTTGAGGACGAGCTCACCAACCAAGCCGCTGGGCCAAAGCCGAAGCGCAAGAACAAGCGCACGAAGGCATACACGGCGGCCAAGGACAAACTTCTTTGCGAGTGTTGGAGGGACATTGGACAAGACCCCAAGACTGGCGCCGAACAAAAGCATTCAACTTTTTGGATTCGTGTCCACCGGGAGTTTCATGAGCGCAAGAAGTTTCCTCCTTACCAAACTGCGAGCACGCGTGGGTGGGTGTCCATTTCAAAGCGATGGAGAGTGATCCAACAAGAGTACAATAAGTTTTGTGCCACTCTTGAGAGCGTCAAGGCCCGCCCCGTGAGCGGCATCGGCATGCAAGACATGGTATGATACCAAGCAGCCCTCTTTTGTGTCATCAAGTCCATGCTTGTGTGTTCATTTGCATCCCATTTGTGCCAACATGCTTGCATGAAAACATTTGTAGGCATTTCAAGCTTTGGAGGCATTCAAAGTCCAACACAATGGCAAGTGCTTCAACCTCTCCCATTTCTATATGGTCATCAAAAATAAGGAGAAGTTCAAGGCGCAATATGCCGCCCTCAAGTCGCGCGGGGGAAAGAAAGCCGTGGAGGAGGCTGGGGACGGCGAGCCGGGTCGGCCGCAGGGGAAGACCAACTCCAAGAAGGAGGACAAGTGGGATGCGGCATCGAACGCCTTGATCACAAGCGTGGAGGGCATGATGAACAAGAAGGACTCAAGAGAGGAGGAGCGCTGGCGTTTCAAAGAGGAGTAATGAACGCCTTCATGAAGATCCAAGGGAGGAGGCTAGAGATGGATGCGGAGAAGCAAGCCAAGATGCTTGAGTTGGAAGCGGAGAAGCAAGCGAAGATGCTCGAGATCGAGGCCGCCAACCCCAAGACCAAGGCCAAAGAAGTGGCTCTCGCAAGCATGATGACTGGGGTGGAGATCATGAAGGTGGATCTCAACACCGTGCCGCCAAGGAAGAGGCCATGATTCGAGAAAATGCAGGCTGACATGCTCAAGTTCACCGACGAGTGATCTCGTGGCCGCGAGCGCCTTCTTTTTTGTATGCCGGCTTGTGCGCTGGCATGACCACGGGTCCATGATGGCGTGGTCGAACTCAAGTCCCACCCCTTTTTGTGTGCTGACATGTGTGCCGGCCGCTGTCAAGTGAGCCAGCATGAACAGTTTGGTACATTTTTTAAAGCCGGCAATGTATGCCGGCGCTGGCATGATGCTGACATGAGACATGGCCGCTGGCATGATCTATGACCACGGGTCTTTTTAAAAATTTGAGTGCGGACATGAAAATGGATCGGCGCGTTAGGCGCATTGCCGACTCAAATACAAAACAGAGCGGACGTCGGGCGCGGCCGACCCAAACGGACATAAAGCGGACAAATGTATCGTCCGTTTGGGCCGGCCCATTGGAGTTGCTCTTAGGTGACGTGCACAGCAGAAGCAGTTTTTCTCTCTCGAAATGTAGACAGCAGGAACAGTGCAGTGTTCCGAAGATTGCTACACGGACGACACTTCACGCATGATACACTTCCGTCCATGCGTCAGACCAAAGTGCACAAAGCTGTTGGATTAGGCATGGTGCAAAGATCGTCCCAGCATATGTCGTCTCTGAAGTAGTTTCGTTTCCGGAGGCCATCAACATTCTATCGCGACTGGCGACTAATCGCAGAAGGGGAAAACGCCACGACTCGGGCTACAGAAGCAACTGTCAGGCAAGCTGTCTCTCGGTCGAGCCGCAGCTTTCTTCTTCGGTCCGACGGACGCGCAACGGAAAAAGATGACAAGTTCGGCAGAGTTCAGTCCTATGAGCCTGTCCCTGAACTTTCCTTCCCTGAATGGTTTGGAGTAGTTCTCAGAGGTCAGAGCAAAGTCAGTTTAACCACCTAACAGTAAGTACTATCACAATCACAGATGTGACTGCCTTGTTCTAACACCACCGTCCACTGGTACGGTGTCGCTAACATGTCAAAGAATTCCCCGCAAAAAAAAAAACATGTCAAAGAATTGCGCCATGTGCCGCTGCACTGCTTCATATGGAGGCGGCAGGCAGGGCTCTGTTTCCCCGGCTGCGTCGTCTCGTCGGTGCGCCGTGCACATGATACGACGACCAACACGTGCACGCGTCGCTCTGGCAGAAGCCAACAGCATGCCAGTACGGGCGGCGATACTGGTGACGCTAACACTAGTAGGTAGGCGCTGCTACACGCTGGTGACGGACGGCCGGAGTTCGCCATGATTTGTTCCCGTGAATGCCTCCCCGGCCCACAACCATGCCGTTGCACCGCGCACGTCGAGATCTCGGCATTTAGTTGGCGCGCCGGTGTCGACCGGCTGCTCGTTTGCTTGCGGAAGCTTCTCCTCCACCTCTGGCCGTGTGCACTGTGGCAGCGATGGAGGCATGGCGAACTCGTAATAAAAATCGCTGTGTGCAGTCATCTGTCGCGTTCGTAATTAAGCTCGGCTGCGGAAGTTCTGAGACTTGCCCATGACCATGCGCCCTGCTGGTTTCATCTGTCGGTTTGATTACGGGCAACCATGTGGATGGCATCGAACCTGGCTACGACCTCGCGTTTGATTAGTCCATGGCGCGTTAGTTAACCACCCCGTCAACCAGCCACCCGTGATGCATAACATGCATATTAGTAGAATGATAGTCCAATAAATAATGGGCCAAGAAATGGTAGTAGTAGTACAGTGAGAGTGGAGAGGTCACGAACTGGCACGGCCTATCAGCGTCCGAGGAAAGTCAGGCTTGCTGCTGGTAGAGCTACAGCCTATAGGAAGCTGCCCCGATCGAGCCCTTGCTCCTTTCCCCTGCATGCCTCCGCGTTGATCCAGCTGCTCCGGCATGGCGATCTCCAAGACCACCCAGCCCTCGCCGGCGGCCATCTTCCTCTCAGGGGCGGCCTCAGCGACTGCGCTGCTCGTCTTCTTCTACACCGCCACCGCAGGCCCCGCGTGGCCCACGACGACGACGGAGTTCACTCCTCAGGGAAGCCAGGCGGTGGCTCGGCCGGCTTCTGCACCGGCGACGAAGGCTTCTTCTCCTACCGCTACCAATGCGGTACGATCTACTCGTATTTGCTCTTCGGCCATTTGCTATCTAATCTGCTTAACGGTTTCCTTTGCGCAGACAGGCGGCGACGACGCGTTCGCGCGGATGCTGCGGCGGGCGGCCATGGAGGACCGGACGGTGATCATGACGTCGGTGAACGAGGCGTGGGCGGCGGAGGGGTCGCTGCTGGACTCCTTCCTCGAGAGCTTCCGCGTGGGGCTCAACATCTCGCACCTGGTGAAGCACATCGTGGTGGTGGCCATGGACGAGGGCGCGCTCCGCCGGTGCCGCGCCGTGCACCCGCACTGCCACCTGCTGCTCCCGGACGTCCACGGCCTCGACCTCTCCGGCGCCAAGACCTACATGACCAAGGACTACCTCGACCTCGTCTGGAGCAAGCTCCGGCTCCAGCACCGCGTCCTCCTCCTCGGCTACAACCTCCTCTTCACGGCACGTCGTCGCCATTGCCATTGTTGTTTTTTTGTTTTCATTTGTTTCTTTCGGGACATCGATCGACGTGCTCTCTCGATCTCCGTTAGAAATAATAATCGTGCCGACAACTCTCGACCGAGGCGTTGACGACGTGCGTGGGTGCAGGACGTGGACGTGGCGTGGTTCCGGGACCCGCGGGTGCACATCACGGCGGCGGCGGACATCACGACGTCGAGCGACTTCTACTTCGGCGACCCGGACGACCTGGGCAACTACCCAAACACGGGTTTCATCTACTTCAAGGCCACGGCCCGCAACGCGCGCGCCATGGCGTACTGGCACGCCGCCAGGGCGCGCTTCCCGGAGAACCACGACCAGTTCGTCTTCAACGAGATCAAGCGGGAGCTGGCGGCGCCGCCCATCGGCGTCCGGATCAGGTTCGTCGACAGCAAGCACGTCAGCGGCTTCTGCCAGCTCGGGCGCGACCTGAACCGCATCGCCACCGTGCACATGACCTGCTGCATCGGCCTGGAGAACAAGCTGCACGACCTCCGGCGCGTCGTGGAGGACTGGAGGCGCTACGTGTCGCGCCCGGAGTGGGAGCGCCGGGCCGGCAAGATCGGGTGGAGGTTCGAGGGAGGCAAGTGCATACATTGATTGATCGATCCATTGATTGATGGGATCGACGAGGAGCGATCGATGCGGGAATGCTCATTGAGAGAGACCGATGGTGCATGGAAGATTGCGAGCTTCCGGCCTGTCGTTGATGTGTTTCGCCATTCTGTTCATATTTCAGAAATTATTTAGTACACACATGACATATACCTTGAGAAAAATGTACACACATGCTATGCTTTTTACAGACAGAAGAATACACATGCTATGCTCCGGTGGATTGTATGGTGGTACACCGTAATTTTTGTTGCTGTCGAGCAGTTAGAGCATCTCCAGCCATTCGGCCCCCCCCAAGACGCCGAAAAAGAGCGGCCTGGGGGCGAACCGGCGCAAGATTGACCCATGGGGTTCGGTTCGCTCCCAATCATCGTCCCACGGTCGCCGCGGGTTCGGCAAAGTTCGTTTCAAAATTTTGCAAACTCGGGGATTTTTGCAGGAACTCGGCCATACTTCATTGAAATTTGTATAAAAATATAAAAACATGCAAGAACTACACCTAACTTAAAAAACAAACTAAAAAGCCTAGCAGCCGCCGTCGTCTACATGCCGAGAAGCCTGTAGAAGCGGGTGTAGTCGCCGCCGTCGCCGTCGTCGTCGTCGCGCGCCTCGCCTGCGACATCCCTGCTGCAGCCCTGTCCGGGGTCGCCGAC